ACAGGGGAAATGTCTGGTGTGCGGTTTAGTTGAATGTAGTCCGTAAGGTATGATTCTAGTAGAATCTTGTGGGCAGGATCCGTGAGGAGGGAGTCGTTTAGGGTCCAGGTCGGAGTTTTGAGAGTGTGGTGTAAGACAGGAAGGACCAAGGTGACCGCTGAGTGATCAGACCATGGGACCGGTAGGATGTGTGAGTGCAGGATGTGTGGTGTCAGGGTGGCAGAGGAGAAAATATGATCTATTCTAGAGTGACTCGCATGAGGATGGGAGTAATGGGTGTAGTCTATTTTGGTTGGGTTGACTTCTCTCCAGCAGTCAATGAGTGAGTAGGAGGACATCAGGTCCCTAAATGGTTTTGCCATGTGCATGCATGCGGGAGAGGCTTTGGATTTGTCTCGGTGCGGGTACATTACCATGTTGGAATCTCCACACATGATGACTGCACCCGTCAAGCAAGTTTGTATTTTTCCCAGAAGTTCTCGAAAAAAGGTGAGCTGGTCCACATTTGGGGCATAGTAAGAGACTAAAGTTACCTCTTGGTCATCCAGAAGGCCCGCGAGGATCAGGTAGCGACCCTGAGGATCGCGGGTCTCCGAGTGACATGTAAAGTTGGCTGACCTGCGGAAGCCGATAAGGACACCCTTTCTTTTGCATGAGTCGTTGGCCATATAGATTTGGGGGAATTGGGCACTAAAATATTTTGGGCATGACGATCTGGAAAAGTGGGTTTCTTGTAGAAAGATTACGTTTGCATGGGAGGATTGGAAAAATCTAAAGGCTCTCGTCCTCTTGTTAGGAGAGTTGAGGCCTTGGACATTTAGGCTCAGTAGCTTAAGGGACATATGTGGAGAAGGGGTAGGTATGCTCATGGTACTCACGCTGTCTCGTAGTTTGTGGGCCCGTTGTCACTGTCATATGTATCAGCACACGTTTCGACTCAGGAGTTGGAATCTGGACCAAAGAAGGGAGAAAAGAGGGGGACAAAACAGGGAGACACAGAGGGAGGGGGTGCACTAGACAAAACACACTAGACATCACAACATTTACATAAACAGATAGTGGATAAATTCCACTACAGGCTCGGAACATTGGGCGGAAGGAGGCGGTGCTCCCTAATCCACCCAAGGTTTCCAAGGTATGGGGAGTACAGTGACGTACTCACCCAGGCAAAATCTTAAGCATAGTATATTAGTTTATAACAGATTGGAAGTCCACCCGGAGCTGGAACCCTACATGTGGACATGAAGTCCAATACAGTTAGGATGCTCAGGGCGTCCGGTGTAACGGTCGGATGTGGACAGTGGCAGGGGGGGGGGAGTTAGTAAGAGGGATAGTAAAGATCTTTTTGTTAGATTGTTAGACTACCACAGGGCTCAGTAAGGGTCCATTGTGAGGTGCACCCATAGTACCAGGGTGCGGGTTCAGGGAAGGGGGTTAGGCCTGGGCCACTAAGTCCTCGAGGTCACTAAAGATTTTCCCCCCTGTCACTGAGCCAGCCGAAAACCTGGTAAAAACATGAACATATGCATAACAAGGCAGAACATCATCGTTAAGGATATATGATAGAAAGAAGCTAACAGTTCTTGCGGGCAAGCAACTTGAGTAGTGAGAACAGGGGTATGCCTTATGATGAGCAACAAACGGGAAATAAGCTTCTTCTCGGCGGGGGAAGGGTAGAACCCTGGCGGGGTAACGGGAAAACCATGGTAGGGGACTGTCTTAGCCGTGCTTGGCGACAAGATGTCCCATGCGGGGTGCTGCTTCAACTGTAGATAGATCCAAGACTCCAGGGCGCCTTGTATGATGGTCTGCTCTTGGTGTAGAACTGGAGGTGTGCTCTCAGGGCCAGAGAATTCCCGCAGTGGGCAGACAGGGGGATTTGGCCCCAACTGGAGGCGATCTCTCAGGGTATGGAGCTCTGCAAACGGCAGTCGGGATCCAGGCCACCTACACCGCAACCGGCGGTACAGAAGATAGGGCCAACCTCAGGGGGTTGCATGACGATTCAGCGTGGCGAGGGGTTTTTGGTGGACATCTTAACCGCCGGGCGACTTGACTCACCGGAGTGGTTGTGATCCGAGTCGCTCCTTGAGCGCTTGGAAGAGAGAGCAGGGGAGTTGTGGGAGTCCATGGCTTCAGGTTGTGAGTCAGTAAGGCCCAGGTCGGCCATTTTGCGTTGCGCTTCTTCTAGGGTAGTGCAAGAATGATGCTTACCCCCATGGGAGAACAGTAGACGGAAGGGGAACCCCCATTTGTAGGGAATATGGTGTTTAGAGAGGACTTCAAGACAGGGGCGCAGGGACCTCCTCTTGGTTATGGTGGAAGGGGCCAAGTCTGCGAACACTTGGTATTCGTGGCCCTGGAAGGAGAGTGGACTTTGTTGAGCCTTGGTTCTGGCTGCGGCAGCTAGGCTTTCCTTGGTGCGATAGTAATGTAGTTTGACCAGGATGTCTCGGGGGGGACCATCAGGGCGCCTGCGGGTCAGGGTCCGGTGGATCCTCTCTATCTCCAGTCGCTCTAGAGGGATATCGGGGGCTAGCTCTTGGAAGAGTGCCGTTGCCGTGGAGGTTAGATCTGTAATGTGCTCTGGGAGGCCGCGGATACGCAGATTGGAGCGCCGGGACCTGTTCTCCATGTCCTCTAGCTTTGAGGCTAACTACGAATTCGCCTTAGGGACTCTATGTCACCATTAAAGGTGGTTAGGTCAGCCTTAAAGTCATCACATCTGTCTTCCAATGCAGCAGTGCGGTGGCCTATGTCCCTGATTTCCTTAAGCAGCCTGTCAGTTATCTGCTTTGATGTGGATTGGAGTGCTTTCTGGAGCATGGCATCAAACCGCTGCAGTAAAGCTGTTTGGGATCTTTTGCGGGAGCGATCTCCTTCATGGCTGCTAAGATCCCCCTCGTCCATATCACTACTGGACACTGAGGCTGCGCGGGCTGTTACCTCATGTGAGAGGGCCGCGGGCGCCATCTTGGCCGATGCTCTGGCCATCGCTTCCTTGATGGGCTGCTGTTTCCCCTTCTGCTGAAGTTTGGGCGCTGCGGACGACATAATCAGGTGCAGGGGTCGTTCCGATTGCTGGCTGGGGTATTGAATCGGGTGTGCGGGGCGAACTTCCGAGTTACGAGCGGGATTGCCTGGGTGAGTTGCGGAGCCGTCTCAGAAGGCCTGCTTCATCGTCAGCTGCGCGCATGCGCCCCCCGTGGACATTTTTTTACAAACGGCAGATTAGTAGATCTTTACTTCCTGGAACTCTGGCAGATGTGACTAGGACATGTGAGCATGCGCATCATCTCCAGGGAGGAAAATACCTTTCCCTGAGATCTCATGAGATTACAGATGTGATTTCCCAGCAATGCTCTGCTGATGTAACCTTCCCAGGATGCAACGCTTGGGCACATTACATCACTAATGCCCAAGAGGACCAGGAAGTGGAAAAACAATAATTGTAAGTAAAAGAAAAATGTGTTTAACGAATGAATGTAAGATGATTTCATATCAGTATGCAGAGCTGCATGCTGATGTGATTTTAATGAAAGGGGTAAAGGTCTGCTATAAGCTATAAGAGGAAAGCAAATAATAGATAGTTAATCTAGTGTTAGTACGGCAGAGATGCGACTCAGAAGACACATAGAAATGCCTTTGCACACTGGAGAAGATTCTTTATGTCTCACCAGGCTATAGAGAGCTTAGTATTTTTCAACAGTTTTAGTATAAAGGTTGGAGTAAGTTAGTAACACATAATAAAGGGTAAATATACAGTACAGCCTTTAAAAGTAAGCCTGCACGAATAATAATTAAAGCTGAACTCCAGGGAGAGCCAGAGCTAAATGCGTGGATGAAATACATTCATGAGAGCTGTTTTACCTGCCAATTAATTTGTATCTCTATCCATCCACTCATGCGATTTACACAGCTCTGCCACACAGCACAGTCCTGTCTAGCAGGGAAGGGGAATTGATCTTACTCTGCTCCAGTTTCAGTTTTGCTTACAGGTCCCTTCCTCACCCTAACCCTGTGACTGGCCAGCAAAAGGCGATGCAGTAGACTGATGAGTGCCTTTTGCCTCCTTCTGTCAACATGTCTCCTTATCTGCTTCTCCCTCCCCCAATCTGAGCTCTGCTGTACAGTAGATTGCAGGAGGCTGATACCCAGTCATATTCAGGTACTTACACTGCTTGCATTTAAAAATGTAATTAATTATTGCATGTCTGCATTAGCTTGTGCCTTGATATCTGCCTGGAGTTCAGCTTTAATGAGTGAATATTCAGGTTAACTTTAATGTGAGCTGCCATTGCTGGATCGATTTTACAGATGCAAGCTCTGTGGCTGTCATCTTGATTCTCAATGCGCTATGTAGTGTGACTTCTGTATTGGAATAACTATGCGGGTCAGCAGTTCAGAGTGTGCGGACTTCACTGGCTGCATAATTGCTCTAGATCCATGACTAGATGTACAGCTATGCTCAGAATGGCAGCCTATACTGAGAAAATATGAGGCTACCAGTACTAACCTGTCCTTCTGAAAATGCTAGTTGCTTTGCTGCCATACTGATCCTGATTCTAATCCTGAGCGACTGATCTATGACATATGTGCAGATCGTACTTCACTCTGGCTGTCATATTCCAGGTCAGTAACTCGAAGTACCGATGTCAGAGATGACCAGACATCACATATTTTCAGCACGATGTCATAAACAGCAGCCTCCATATATCTCTCAGTACAGGTTTCCTTTAAAAACAAGTCAGCAATGGCATCCCCTATATTTCTATCATCACAGGTCCCCTTTAAGTTTCTGTATCCGTGTCCTTTTGTCACATCCGTGATTCGTTGCAGCAGACACTTTGCTGAATTTTAAGCTGTTATCATTATGCTTGTTAGCAGGGAGCCATATACACATCCGGGGGGGCAATATTAAACAATTTCAATCTTTAAGAATTTTCCATTTTACAAAAGGACTTCTGTTTACAGTTGTTAAATTCAGGATAGATATTTACCCAAGTTTTCTCGGCTTCCTCTTGCTCCCTTGATAGTCTAGAGTTCCCTGCGGGAAGGACCAAGAACACGCTTTCAGAAGCAAAGCAGGGAGTCGTTAATTTTTAATTCAAAGTGATTTTGTGTTGAATGCAAGCAGATGCTGATAATATCACAAGTCAAAGCATAATTTTTTTGATCAAAGGGCTCAAGTGAGCCTGATGAAGCATGCATGTTGGTTTTCTTTGATAAACCACATCAATTATTAACCGTGAAAGGAGACATCCTGATATGAAAGCAACTGATAAAGTGCAGAGGCACATGTTCAGCCAGCACTGTGTTAAGCGAGGGGATGGAGAGATGGGCTGCTACAATGGAGGAAAGAAGGAAAGGTTGAGGAAATTAGAAATAGAGTATGTGAGAGCGGAAAAACAGGCTTAGACATGGGCAGATTGGACTTGCCAGCATTCCACATTCCCAGCTATGCTAGTCCAATGTGTAATAGGTTCGACCAACCTAACGCGTTCAACATCATTATATTATCATCTACGGAACAATAGAAGCAGTCATATATGAACTGCATTGCTCATGCCAGTGTGACCCCTGTAAATAAACCATTTGATATCTGTTGTCCATTATGGCTGGGGAGGACCAAACATGGCATGATTCTAGTCAAAGAAGGCCTTTGTTGGCCAGCAATTAGCCTGTAGATGTTATCCATATCTGTTAGGGAACCTCCCAGGGCACCTACTCTGTTTATATTAGAGAGGAGAAGGCTACGGGGTTCTGAGTCACTGCTAGTAGAGGGGAGCAGGGTTAGCGGAGCTGCTTCAAGAACAACGTGCTTCTGCTAGGATTCTTGGGAATGAATTGCTCCACTGTGCCGGCAGATACAGTGGTCAGTGAGCATTAGTAGTAGAGCTCATTTACCACTTGTTAGGAATATGTAAGTATTTGAATGACCATAGCAGGGACACAAATTCACTGTAGGGTAGGACTGGACACATTTGGGTGCTTGCTACACTATGGAAACATTGTAGGTAAAACAAAAAAGTTCAAATCGCACCACCACTCAATCCACTTTTTTCAAGTATAAAAATCATTATTGTTTGCTGAGCATTTCACAGACTTCCAGGCCAAGCTCCTCAGACACCTTTCTTCCCAACCAAAGCCCATCCATAAAGGTGAAAGCATTATGGCCACTTGTTTGAATAGGTTTCTTAGTTTACTTAACCACTTGAGCCCCAATCATCATTTTAAAATGGACCCGGGATATCAACGATTGGTATATTTTAAAACATTTGGCTATTTAAAAATGGTGGCCAGTCTCAGCAAATCAGGTGGGCCCCTTCCTGCCAGCATGTAGGCTGAAACCGTTGGCTGTCTGACAGTCCGGGTTCAGCACTAAGCCAAGGACCTGAAACGATCAGCTCCTGGGCTTCCTAAACTTCTACAGATTGCTTCATTGGAGCATAATGTAAAAGTGAATGTAAACCCAGCACATGTTATGTTTACATCAGGAGTGTAGTGATGCCCTGAGCAATGTCAGGGCACTTCCTCTGAGTTCTGAGACCAGAATAGAGCTGTTATCTCCCTGCAGCAGTATATCACTACTATAGTGATTTATTGCTCGCTGATTGCAGTCAGCAACAGATCACTATAAGAAGTAACCTGCTGCTGAACATCTACATGGGGGGTCTGGATCTGGTCAGTGGAGACCTGATGCAGAGCCTCTCTAGATTAGTCTCTAGATTAGTCTCGCAACATTGATGTTGGATGATTTCAACGGCATTTGTGTTCACTGCACAAGCATTAAAAGCTCACATAAATGAGTACAATTTATTGGAAAGTTTAATGACTGCAAACATGTAGAAAAGTCATCATTGTGCTCATTTGTGCCCTCTTCAACCTGACTGAATCTTATCCTATTGTCACGCTAACAATTTACACAAAGCGTTTTTCCCCTTGCGTGCATCACAATGTAGCGACACAGTCAAACTAATGTGATAATACTTTAATAAGCAGACTGTGTTGATTATATTTTTGGGTAAATATATGGGGGTGGATACATTCTGTAAATGTTCCATTGGGAAAAATCACAGGAAAATGCAAATAGTAAAACATTTGCAAAAAAAGTTTTACTTTTTTTCCAATGCAAACCAATTAAATAAAAATGTATGTATCCAAATTTGGTATCAAATTAAAGCCCTGTCTGTCCCGGGTATAAGGATGTATAATACGTTAGGATAGACTTCAAAACCTAAAAGATTTAGCGTGTGGAACTCAATGGGATTTTGGAAGAATAAGGCCTGTAGACTCAAGTGGTTAAAGCTGAACTTCAGGTAAATCACATATACCAGCTATGGCGACCCTATAGCACGTGTGCTACAGAGGGCACGCAGAGGCCCCTCTGGTGGCACACCAGCCTAGGCAGGGCAGTATTGCCCGACACCCGCGACATACAGTTCCGGGCACTGGGCGGGTAGTTTTTTTCTACATTTAGCCCCGCTTCGGGCAAGCAAGGCTAAATGTACAGCGGGGAAGCCGCCGCTTGTTTAGTACAAGTGATATTGGCAATGCCACTGAGATCACTTGTAATAGGCCTGCTGGTCCTCCACCCCCCCTCCATGGTCCACCCCCACCACTGTCTGCCTCTCTCCCCACTGGCCGCTTCCCTCCTTGTTAGCCCCGTGTGATAACAATAATAGGAGATAGTAATTAACATAAAAAAATGTAAAAATAAAAATGGATAAAAAAGTAAAAAAGAATAAGAATCAATTAAAATTATTAAAAATAAAAAGGTAAAAGATAAATACTAATTTAAAAATTAAAAAAGTGATTAAAAAAATGTAATACTTATTTTCAGTGCAGTCACTTTGAGATAAATAAATTGATTTTGCGTTGCAGTTTGGGCACTAGGGCTCAAAAACTTTAGCTATCACTGGCCTATACTGTATACCTAAACTGCAGTAGAACAAAGTCAGGTTACTAACCTGGTTGTGCTGTCTGTCAGGTCTGTGTAAAATCTTCTGCTAAAATTCCAGTCATTCACTACAACTACTAACTATTCTTACATATCATTGCTTCTCTAAACACAAAACATTCAAAAGGGAATTAAAATTAAAAAAATAAACCCATAAGCCTTAATGAAGGGGATACTGTGGACCCCTGAAACACGTGGACTGTTTTATTCTAGTGATCTTTAAAAAGGAGATATCACATTGGACTGTACAATTAGCAGTGGAGCCCCCCTTTTGTTCTATACTGTATTTGGTTCCACTTCAGATCCCCTTTTCTGATTGGGGGTCCGTTGTTTTGTGTAGGAGCAACCCCCCAAGAATGTTTGACACTACATAGAAGAGCATAAGTGACAAATGTTGTGCCTCGCCCATAAATATCCTAACTCTCAGGAGTGGGCAAAATGGAAAATAAATCAGCTGTCACATGTAAATCAGCTGTCACATATCCTAACATATAGTTATTTGCCTGGAGTTGAACTTTAATAAAATTGCCCACTGGACAATTATTAGAAAGGATCTAGTAGAAGAATGGTGGTGTGAGTATCAAGGAGTTTCAAAGTCCCAGCATATCCTATCCTGTTATGACATCAGCATTGTAATAGGAATAGATACTGGAGATGTTTTTGATAATGCAATCATAGCGTACTTTAAAAAAATCCCTTTTATGTAGTGAGTGCTGCCTTCCATCTGCACATCAACTTCCTGGATTCCCAGAGTGCTTTGCATCTCTTTCCCTACTTCTTGATGTGATGCAATCTTTATTCCTCGAGACTATAAAGCCCAGCATGCATTGCTCCCAGCAAGCAATGATAATGTTACATTGTTCAGATGTTAAGTTATAGTTCAGAAGCCGAGCTCTGAGAGTTGTGACACAAGGAATTGCATATTCACAGGGCTGAATGAAATTGTGTCAGTGCATTGAGGAAGTACACCCTATAAGCATCTTCAAAAAGTAAGTAAGTGGATTCCCAATGTGATTTGCGTCTCTTTCCCTGCTGTTGGATGTGATGCAATCTCAAGTTCTCAAGACTATACAGCCCAAAATGCATTGCTCCCCGAAAGCAATGATAATGTAACATTGTGGGAAGGTCAGGAAGAGAGTTGTAGTTCAGAAAGTGACACAAGGAAGTGCATATTCACAGGGCTGAGTGAAATTGTGTCAGTGCATTGAAGAAATACATACTATGGGTATCTTATATAAGTAAGTTTACAAAGGTCTAGATGGATATGGTTATTAGGAGTGGGATGGAACTTATGGAAATTCAATATAAAAATACATACTTTCTTTAAATTTTTTACCATAGAGACCCTTTAAAGTGTAGCTATAGAAATATAAGCACATGTCTTCATTTCTTCACAACTGGAATGAACTCACATTAATGTGGTTGTAGTACAAGCTGTCCTCGGGACTGTTCAGAGCTTTGGGCTGTTGACAGCGTCTTCTGGTCCTCAACTTCTTCTCAATAAATATTTCTGAACCTGTCACAGAGTAATGGCTTCATCATTCAGAGGAAATTATATTTCAATAATATTTTTTGTCTTCAGTTGTTACAGGTAATAGTAGCCCTTTATGAAACACTATTTAAAGATTAAACAATATGTGTCCATTATATACTGTATACTGTCACTTTTAGAAATTGGAGTTATGTTAAAATGAACCTGTCATCATCAACCGGGGCAACACAGGCCAAGAATATAATCATAAACAAGCAGACGTTACCACCAGTGAAAATTGTAAATCAAAATGATTGGCGGATCCGGAGACAAAGCTGTGGTAATTTATATGTAAATCTCTTCTAAATATCCAGCTTTAGCCATAAACCATTCAAGCCTTCTGACCCTCCTTTGGCCAGTGAGGTTGCCTATCACATTAAAATGCTATGGAGAGGGCAAACATGAATTTCAAAGAGCATGTGTGGGCAAAATTAAAATTAAAAAAACAGCCCACAAACTGGCTGCGACTATGGTGCAGTTTGGGGGCTGAAACATGTAAGCATTTGTTTGTCTGCTGCTGTTATGCCTTTTTACAAATAAAGTACTGGATGGATGGATCACCTTGCGAGTGCCGTTTTTTTAACCTATTGCTTAGTGAGGGCTCCGGCGGAAGCTTTACCAGGCACCAAGGTTCAAGCAGCGGGATTGGAGACAAGAGGATAGAGCTGCTCAAAGTTTCTAAACTGCTACATATATATGCAATACATGGACACTTTCTCATGTTTTATCCCTTTTAAATGCTTTAGGCACAGAACATATCTGTTAAACAGTCAGAAATCCAGTTTGTTCTTAGCTTCCTGTTCAGGCTGACAACATAGTGCCTTTGCTGAAATGGAATCCCAGGCAGTGTTGTTAGCCCTGCCAGCTGGACTACAGAGCTCCACCTATTTCCCACCCATCTCTGTCCCACTCCACATCCATACATTGCTTTATTTTCTAGCAAAACAATTTTGGTGCCTTGACTTCCAAGAGCCTGCTCCCAAATTGTGTTTAGAGAAAGGGCTCTTGGGAGATGTATTTCTGGGGGAGGGCATGCCTACATTAATAGGGACCAATCTTTAAGCAGCTGCCCCTGCAAGAATTTTACACAGGGAGTAATAAAAGTGGTTTCTCAGTACAGGAACAAAAAAAAACAATGCTTGGGCATGCTCTAGTTTACAGTAAAATTTGGCAATGCCTGGACATACATTTTAATGTGTCAGGATACCCGCAGTTGGCACATATCCTACTAAGAACAAAGGAGGTAAAACATTCCCCTGCACAAACCTTTTAGAACCAACCACAATATGCCTAGTAAATTAGCTGGCAGGTAAATGCAGCACATGTCCAAATAAAGCCTTTCTTCGTTATATTAAAAACAAAACAAAAAAAAGATAAGAGTGAACACCCACGTGTACAACGCCTGTCTACGATTGTTACATTTCTGTGTGATAGAGAGTGCCTTTGACAGTCAATGAATTTATTATGGCCATTAGGTAAACCCTGTGTGGTCTGATTCTTGCCCAGCTACTGCAGGAGATGCTCTGGACTGGACTTGATCCATGTATGCCTATTGGCCACCCATAGAGTTTTAGACCACCTCTGCACAACTGCAAGCGAATTAATTTCAATCAATGTCCTCCATGTTTCCTTAGCCATAACAACGCAATGAAGAGCCAGACTTCCGAAACCAAAAATTTAACTAGTTACTATATAAATCATAGATTAAGTAAAATATGTCAGATTGTATAATATTCTAAAGCCTAATTGGAAGCTTTGGGCAACACCTACACCTTTTCCATTCCATTTTCAACCTTTACTTCCATTCAACTTTTATTTTTTATCCCCAATGTAGAGTCAGAGGATGGGTATTGTAAATGCTGGGCCTCATTTATAAAACTGTCTTTCATACGAAGTCTGGGTATTGTTCCAAAGCAAGCAAACACAAGCTAAACTGTACTAAAAAATGGAAAATAAAAATAAAGAAAATACTCTGGACAAAAATGTTGAGGGTTTTTAAAATACACCTCACCAATATGTCCTTACTCCTAGAGCACCGTCTGTAAGCAACTTCACTGTGTTAGAATGACAACACTGTACCATAAAAATTAATCCTTGATTGACTCAGTGAGCTGCCCCTCCTTCTGCCGCTAATAAAGGGAAAAGATGAAGGCATTTACAATAACTGTATTTAAGATATTTCCTGAATAAATAACTGGATTAACATTTGTTTTTAATATCTAAAGCTGGTCGGCTGTGGGTTGTTAAAGGTAATTGCCCCCTTTCGATTAATATGCCTGGAGTATACTTTTTCTTTTCCTTGCCAAAAAAAGTCTAAATCAAGTATAAATCTCACAAAATAAAAAGCATGAGGATGCTTTTGGCTAAGCATGGTTATTGGCATAACAGAGCTGGAAGGAACTTTGTATCATTGTAAATGATGCAGATTGTCAAGCTTTTTTGACAGCTGCTTGTACTCCAGAGATAAAGTAGACTTTAAAAAGAAAATTGGGATAGAGCCACAGAGGGTTATAACCCCTGAAAGCTTTTCTTTGCCATCTGTGTCCTATTGGGGAGAACTCCTTTGATAGTCACAACAGGAAGTGAGAAGAAATTCCTCCAAAGAAAGGGAAAACTCAGGTGGTCAGCAGGTTCACCAGAACTAGTGTCCCCATCGAAAGATTTTCCATCTTTTCCTTTCCTGGTGACAATTTGGGATTTTCTTTTGCAGTCACCAGGACAAATAGAGAGGGTGAATCTCCCTAACAGAGGCTCAGACAGCAATAAAAACGTTACACGTGTTTTAATCCCTCTCCATTCACACATGCTCCTCTGCAAGGACGAAGGATCTTATGTCTCTGTTTATTGCATTACCACATTCTGTAGGAGGAGTAGCAATTCTTGTGGAACTGCATTACTTTCATTTGTAAATGATGTCCTGAATCTGAGAGCTTGACAGCTGAGAGATGAGGTCTTTATGTGTTACTAAAGTATTTAATGTACCATTAACAAGGAATAAATAATTAGTTTAAGATGAAAGTGACAATGGAGTAAGCATCTACAATATCATTTATACCCAATTAAAAAGATAAGAACGGTTATTAAGCACAGATGCGAGAGTGAGGAACAGGAGTTTTAAGTTCTTTGTGTACTCCTGATTGTTGACAATGCATTTTAGATTTTATAGACAATAATGCACCCTGGAGTTACCTAAAATGGCACTACGGCAGCCAGGAGTGTGTTTACATTTCACAAGCCAACTGGCTTGCTGGTAGAAAAGCCACCAAACCACTTTTAAACCTTTTCGAATGTGCTGCCACTCCCTTGCCATTCATCCTGGGCTTTCCTGCCCCTCCTGTGGGCCTGGGACTGTCGTTGTGGAGAGCACTGAATGAAGCTAGAAGCGACAAGGCCTCTGTGGCCTGAGAAGAAGCTGATCAAGCACAATCTGTGCTTGGTCAGCTTTATTGGCGATGTTAAGGGTGTAATATACTATCTACATAATGGGGTAAATATATCAAAACTGAAAGTCAGAATCTGGAGAAAATAAACTCAATGGACGCAGCTGGGAGTCTGCGCTGGATCAGAGACCAGCGCCAGCATCGGTGGGACTGTCGGAAACAAGTGGAATAAAGAAGAAGGAAGATGATCGCAGCAAGAGGGATACAATAAGGTAAGTGCTGACAGCAGCAATGGGGGGGGGGATATTTCTTTTAATGTCACTTTAACTGCTCCAGTTTTTATAATCTCCCCTCACTGTCTTCTTAAAGAAAACCTGTTGTATACATCATTATAGAGGAGTGGTTCTCAACCTGTGTAACCTCAGGACCCACATTTGTCCTTGGTCATTAAGTGGTGACCCAAGTCGCACTGCAATGGAACGCACAGCATTGCGGTACCTGCAGGCGATTGAACTGTGGGTGGGAGGGGTGTTTGGGGTGCCATTACGAGAACTGGAGTGGATCCTCAGCCGGGGGACCAGTGCTGGGCTGCTGTGCTGTGACGGAGCTCCATCCATACATGCATTGCATTTAAAAACTCCCATGTGCGCCCTGTAGAGGTGTCGGGAGCCAGAATGTGATGTCACTCCAGTCCAGGCACCTCTACAGGGCACGTGAGGGAGCTGTAAGCAATGCACGTATGGATGGTACTCCCTCGTGGCCCTAGCACCAGCCCACCTCAAGCTGACACTCGACGCCAGGCAGTATATTCTAAATGGCTGCTCTGCGTGAGAACTGACAGTGCTGCGGTAGGAGGCGGCTAAGAGACTCTCACCTAGAAAAGTGGAAGGCACGCGGCGACCCACTGAGCACGGTGTCGCGCTCACCAGTTGAGAACCAAGGATATAGGGTGTTTGTAAGTCCCCTATTGTATAGCAATAAAATTAAATCTAAAAAATTATTTAAAAAATATAAGTTAAACAAAATAAATGTAACCCCCCTAATTTTTTTTTTAAAGCTCTGAGCACATTAATATGTAAACACACGCATTGGGTGAACCTACATATGAAAATGGCAAGTGTGCCACACATGTTAGGTATCACCATGCACGCCAGAGCAATCATTCTAGAGCCAATTCTACAGTAGAGACCATGAAAGGCCTTTAAAATGTTGCCTATGAACAATTTTAGGTGCCAAAGTTTGAGTTCATATCCCAGGTACATATCATTTTAAAGCTTGACATGTTTGGTATCTATTTACTCAACATAACCTCATGTTTTATATTTTACAAAAATTAGGTAACATATTGTGTTTAAGTGCCCAAAAATTAACGTAACTGACATTTTTACTGAAAATTTGGGTTTGATAAACTGCCAACATCACACCTTGTATAAAATGGCAACTACCACCAGAGCAATTGTCTTTTTCATTAAAAATACTGTTTTCACCTTTTTTCACTCTTTTTTGCATCTCATTGCTGCTGGGACCCTGCTGCCTCTTTGTAGCCACTTCCTGTCTATATGCATGCACTCCAATAAGGGCTACCTTATGTCCATGTCAACAGAAAGAGACACAGGCAGTGCAAGAAGGACCCTGCCACTCTGCAGAGAAGAAGAATGATGTACCGGACCAAGCCTGTCATGTGAAAGCAGTATCAGATGAGTATTTAATATAATACTGTCAAATAGTTCTGTTGGAAAATGGCAGCCCCGAGTTACAAAATCCCCCCCTTCCAAATCAGAATAGGGGGACTGCAGTGGTGTGCACAGTCACCAACTATCCAAGCTATTTTCATATAATGGGACCCAGGTTTGTGGGCTCTCAGGGTGCTCAGCAAGATACCTAAAGGTGTGTGTAAGCACCTCACCTCCTGGTGCTGCTTTTCACTGATCAGCTGGTTACTCAGCTTGGTATCTTTAATCAACAGACAGATTTATTTCAAACTGAATGGTTATCATGTATCCCTTTACAGCAGCTTGAATATACATGCAGTTTATTTTAATTTTGATATAGTATTAATATTCTTATTTATCTATTGCATGCAATTTTGATTATGTTCTCATTACTTTTGATCTTAATACTTTAAATTACGTTACCCAGCCGCGGCTCCCTGCAGAAAGTTTTGTACTATATATGATTAGTGCTAGAGGCAAGAGCAAATCGGAAACTGTTTTAAATTGGATCTCAGCACTAAAACAAGTTAATTAGCAACATTTTAACACAATCAAATGTATACGTAAGTAACATATTTTATTCTTTTTTAAAAATGCATTTGAAAGATATATATGAAGTGATTACAGAGCAACTTTTCCATCTTACCAGTATTGACCCAACTGTAGTAGGAACCTGGAAAATTCCTGAGCTTCAGACACCATGAACATGGTATACTTGTGGTACAATTTGTATATAAGGTATTACCTGACCCAAGAGGAACAGTGGAGCTGGCGCTCGCTGCAACAAATCAAGTTTTGTCTTGCAAAGAAAAGTAATCTACCTCCTTTGAAGAGCAGCCCTACTTATTCCCACTTTTTTTTTTCAATAAATCATTTCAAGACCACAGAGGATCCTTATTATGTGAGAAGGACAACTTGTACAAATACCACCTTACCCTCCAACCTCATAGGCCTGGAACAGGCTGCTATGCAAAGTGGGTCTGCCCCTCATTTGCATATGTACATTTTATTACATTCTTCTACAGAATATATTGTTACACTTCCCTTTTTGGCAACAGACGTTAGTCTACCAACAGACTGTAGCTTTGTGTCTATAAACTCAATTCTGAAACAAAAACTAGGAAGAGTGTGAGGCACTGTGATTATTGATTGTGAATGTCCCTTGGGTGCAACATGGGTTTCTGTTGTGGGGCTTGATTGCTTGGTGGTGGCTGCACTTCCACCTACAGGGACCCCACAGTGAGCAGCAGGGGGGCCTTGGAAAAGTTGATTAGAACAAAAAATGGAGGCACTACAAAATGAAGAAGAGTGTAAAAAAAGTTTTAATTGGTAACAATAAAAGCATTGTGCCAAACGCATTTCAGGGGCAAACACAGACCCCTTTCATGAGGGCTTCAGCTGTAACTCAGAAGGTCCCTTCATCAGGGCTTCATCTGTAACTCGAAAGGGGAGTCACTTGGGGAATGATCTCAGGGAAAGTTACAATGATAGTGACCACAAAAACAAGAGTACCCTGGATCATCTCAATTGCTGACTTTTGCATGTGCCCTCGTATTTGCGGTCACCATCATTGTAACTTCCCCATTCCCCACAGGAAACCCTGTTCAAGTTACACCTTAGGTCCTGTTAAAAGGGGTCTTTGTTTGCCCACAAAATGCATTGGCACTTTGATGCTTTAATTGTTACCAATAGAATCTTCTTTGAACTCTTCTTCGTTTGGTGTCGCCTCTATTTTTGTCTATAAACACAATGCAGTCGATTCCCGGCCAACCAATCTTAGAGGAAAAAACAATAATTTTCCTAAAGACTGCTATTGTTTCTTTGGGACAGACACCTGCGCATCTGGCTGAAGAAATCTCTCATAAAAAGTTATTTTACCGGTTGTGTCTTCCAACCACAATCGCATATCTGCAACTAGCCGTACATCTGACCAGAGGCTAGTTCTGATCACGTTTCTGATTACAATTAGTCAATTACAAGATCAGTTTACAATATTGTAGTTGCATATCATGTGACTGGTGGGAGCAACCATGGCAGAAAAGCAGGCAATGTCACAAATAACTGCTTTTTCATTATAAAAAGAGATTACTCTCATTGAAAGTGATAAATGCATTTATAAGCAATAACAACTGCATAGCAATAATGGTTTATCCCCATAGAAAACATGGCACTATTTCATACAAATTACCATTGTTCAACTACTTATTTTGGATGTTGACTAATCTATTAAACTCCGTTTATTAGAAATATAGTGAACTATGGCTGATGGCAAGCTAAATGCTCATGACCAAATAGAAAGTAGTAAGTAATACTGCAGGGTATGTGATAATGATAGAGACAGCACAGCAATGGACCTGGTGGAAATGGAAATTCATGCTAGGTGTGCAATTATTATTATTATACAGGATTTATATAGCGCCAACAATTTAGCAGTGCTCTACAATATAAAGAAGACATTACAATTATAATACAATTCAAGACAAGATGGTAAGGAGGGCCCTGTCTGTGAGGGCTTACAATCTAAAAGGGAGGGGCCAGTCATACATGAGGGGGCAGCTGTGTGGGGATGAACTGTTTGAGAATGTGATGGTTCAGTGTTTAGGTGACCTCGATATACAGGTTAGGCATAGGATATTGTAGTCAGCATTGCACCGTGATTAGGGAAGACTGTGTACTGTACCTGTACTTCTGCAAGATTCACGAGAATTCGAATACCGATTACTTGCAACAACTTCTGAATCATTCATATTGGCCATTATGTTTGGACACACATCCAAATCCTTCAAAAAGATGCAAAAAAAAAAAAAAAATGTAGATGGTTATTCAAAAACAGATTAGGCAGATAACAAGAAGGACATCTGTAGTGTTGTTCTAAAGTATCCACTTTAAAACATGCCATGAAGTAATGGACTTATTTTAAGGTGCTGTCACTTTTCCATTGTAATTCATTGTGTAGAAATACATTATGTAAAAAATGATATTGTTAGTAAAAAAATGCATATTTGTAAACAAATTATATTTATTTATATATATACACACACACATATTGATTACATATGTTGAGAAAATCCTCACATCAGTTGGACCTGGCAAAAGGAGACAAATACATGACAGTAACAGACAGGACATAGAAAGCACATGTATATTTAGTGGACCAGAAACTGCAGAAGATAAATACTGCCACACATTTTGCTATGAAAGCAAGCAATGACTACAATTATTATTGACAGGTGAGAATAGAAACAAGCACTGGCCAGGACATCAGCCTCAAAGAAAGAGAAATACTAGGGACATAGATGTACAGGCTAAATCTCTACTCATGCCAATGACTACAAGTGGGACATCTGGGATTATACAACCTGTGCACCCCAGCTTGGACAGAAAATCCCATTAATGGTAGCTCTGAGGCTATAGATGATGACCCTTAATCTCTTTACAGATCCACTTTATCTGCCTCCATGCATATTATTGGCAAGTACTACAAAGTGAAGCCTTGTCAGTTCTTAAAAAGGTTAAACTGCATTAAACAAGTAACACATTTAGCAAAAAAGTATTTTTTACAACTAGCTCCTTAAAAGTCGTATTTTTATGAACTGGAAGTCTCAGGGCACATTATGCTCACCCCCCCCTCCCTCCCCACCTTGCTTCATTTGTATCAGCAAAAAGCTATAGGAAGGTACTAATCTGCTTAACATTTCTAAGTATATCATCCAGCGGATTTTGTTATTTTTTTTTTCTATCTTACATATGCTCTACAGAGTTACTGGCAAAAAACTGTACATTTTCTTCATTTCATCCTTTCAACATCAAATGGTAAGCAGCAAAAATTGGATCAAACTTCAAAGCCAGCGCTGTGCTCCAAGTCACAGAGAGACTCCTCCGTTTCACATATTGAATTCGAGCAGGATATCAAAGTGCTACCAAAGAACCTCAGGTCTTTACTAAAATAGAGGCTGTAACATCTGCAGCTAAGCGGAGAGCACAGACACACCACCTCGGGGAGCAGCGAGCGTTTTATTCTCCGCAGCGTATTTCCAGCCTTTTGATGCTCTCTTTTCACTGTACCTCCCTGTCTTTCCACAGAACTCCGGTTCTTAGCAAGCTAGGGCTTTTGTCTCAGAGACTTCAAAACATAACTAACGGTTTCATGTTCACATGGTTCAGCCAAAGAGCCGTGAACACAGCACAGAACATTAGACGCAGGAATGTTAAGTAACAATGTAGAGTTACTTCAGAGACTTTATGTAAAACTACCTGCCCTGACTGCTTGTCCCGGTGCTTGGGCTCTGTGAAATGGCTTGGGACGCAGTTCTCTTGCCTAAAATTGTAACCGGAGAAAACGATTAGAAAAAAAAAATGAGCATTAAAATACAATTACACAGTTAAAAGTACATGCAGGTCAAACTTTACATCACGCAAGGAACTCAGGCTGTGCATAGCATTTTTAATATTCATTCTTAGGTTCATTCTGCACACCAAGCTTCTCAACCCTGAAAACCCTTCTGGTGGCCAGTAGCCTGGTCATTTTGTAACTCCCTATTACTGAGGCAGCAATAATAAAGCCCAGAGCCCCAGTTCTAAACCCCAATTATCTGCCCTGTCTACCTCTGCATCCTCCAAGCTGCCTTATTCTGTTATTAACCCTGCAGAACATTAAAGTCATATTATAGTCAAAAGGTTTTTAAGCTATTTCAAATGCTAATTAAATCACTTACAATGGATTCTGCTCCTTGATGTTTAAAAGTTTTTTCTTTCTTTCTGCAGAATCAGCTGGTCCCCTGAGCACTGGCCCTGATATCATGTTTTAGGGTGGCTCCTTTCCCTTGTAGAGTCCTATGGAGCCACCCTTGTGTGTGCCAGTAAGCTCTCTGTGTCTCCACAAACACACAGACACAGCAAAGGAAGACACTCCCCTGTTCCCTATCCCTCTCCTCTCTCTTCCATTCTCCAAGCTAGTACATGGACAGTTGCAGGAGACAGCGCTGTCCCTTGTGATATTGTACTGAACAGGAAGTTCAGGGAAGCTGAGCTGACAGAGTTGGAGTCAGCTGATTGGAAGCATAATGACTGTGTTTGGGAAAATACATAAACAAGTAATTTGCTGGGCAGTTTATATTTGTTTGATCTGGATCAATTACTGTAAGTTTGAGAGTTTAATACTACTTTAACGTATACAGTATCTAAACCCAAAAACAAGTTTGGACTTCCACTGGAGAGGTAAGTATTTATGTGGAACTGAACTCTGGAAGCTGTGCCCAAAAAACAGCATGCAAAGGACCAGTCCCCAGTAGAAATGAGCGTGGGCTTTGTTCGAATTTATTTTGCCCAAGCCTACACAAAACTGTCAGTGACACCCCCCTCTTACAAGCCTAATCAGTTGAGTTACGCCAGGGCCTCCATGAATGGAGAACATTCAGCAGCACAGCACTGATATCACTAAATCTTACTACATACTTCCTGACACTATCAGCCAGATGAAGCAGTGTTTCACTGTGAGGTTGTAGGCATAGGAGTGCCTAGGCACACTCACACTATTGTGCTCTTATTTTTCAGAACACATTCAAGTAACTTTTCAGGGTCCAGCTTAGAGGCACAACAAACACTTTTAGATGTCCCCCATAACACAGCAAATTTATATTTTTTGAGGTCAGTTCTACTTTTCAAGTCTTCTTTTCCAGGGAGCTTCTTTTTCGTTTTATTTTAGACAGAGTCGCTTCTAAAGGACCCCTTCAGACATCTGTTCTCTGGCTGGCGTCCCACCCAGTGACATCAGTGAGCTGGGAGGGATGCCAGCCAGAGGTTCCCAGGTTGCTAAGAGCT